GACTTATAATAATTTTAACCGACCTAAAGTCTTACTGTTTTTTTTTTACTTTGTTATTGTCATCTCATGTGGTAATTTGCATGAACACACACATTCAAATGATTCAAAAGATCCTCTCTAATGCCTACTTTATAATGCAGTTTTCACCAAAAACAACATTTTAAAAGAGCACTTTGAACACATCATGATAACGATATAATTGACTTAGAGATGTGTCAATAGTGACTGATTATAAAAGCACAAAAGGTGTTGGTTTCTAAAATAAATCATTAATGTTTATGCGTGGTATATCTATCTCACCGTATTCGTCGGCGCAGATGATGGTGTCTGTCTGCTCCGAGGGGGGGCTGAGGGCTCCGGCCGAGTTCTTGGCTCGGATCCTGAACTCGTACTTGCAGCCCTCCTGCAGGTCGGTGACGGTGTACGCCGGGTCGACCACGTTCACGGGGTTGGCCTTCACCCAGATCTTGGAGGGCAGGTCGCGGCGCTCCACGATGTAGCCGGTCAGCCGATGGCCGCCGTCAGACTGCGGCTCGGTCCACTGCAGGGTGACGGTGCTTCTGGTGATGCTGACTACATCGGGTCTGCCAGGAGCATCTGGGGGAACAGGGATTCAAAACATGAAGGCATTGCAGCATACGTCACAGAATCGCTGATGGATCAGCTGTCCAACCCTTACCGATGGGGTCCAGGGCCACCTGGGGGTCGGTGGGGGCGCTGGGCCTCCCGATGCCGGCCAGGTTGACGGCCATGACTCTGAACTCGTACTCAAGTCCTTCAGTTAGGCCCATCACTTTGTGCTCCCTCATCATCAGGGCGCTGGGGCTCGCCCTCTTCCACAACATGCTGTTCCTCTCCTTGAATTCAACAAAGTAGCCTGGATGTACGGGCAAAATCACAATCAATACACATCATACAATAGTGTTTATATTACTATTTATTAAGTCAAGGAGGTAACACTGCTCTAAATTCTTTAGGATCAAAGATAGAAGACAGAACCACATGGATATTGGACAGGAATATAGAGGTGTGTGAGGAGGCTCACCTGTGATGGGAGACCCTCCGGTCTTCCTGGGGTCGTTCCAGGACAGGTAGGCGGAGTTATGGCGCATGCTTGAGATCTGAGGTGGAGGAGGAGCATCGGGAACATCTGCAGGAAAGAAGACAAGTTGTTTTAAAAACTCTTAAACGATAAAGATATAATATGGATATATGGCCCTGAAGGTGGAGCACTTACTGAAGGGATGTTTGGCCACGATGGGGTCGGACTTGAGCCCCTCGCTGACACCGTACTTGTTTTCAGCGCTGACTCTGAAGATGTACTCGGTGCCCTCGTGCAAGCCGGTCACCCGCTGCACGTTGCTCTCAACGGCGGAGGACACCGTCACCCACATGTTGGTGACAAAGTCCCTCTTCTCCAGGATGTAGTTGGTGATCTCAGAGCCGCCGTCGTCCTTCGGAGCGACCCACTTCAGCGTGGCGGCGTCCGCGTTGACGTCCTTGAACTTCACGGGGCCAATCGGGATGCCGGGTTTACCCACCACCCTGAGAAGAGACGTGGATTATATATTAATAATATATTCTTACCATTGTTACTACAGAGACGGCAATGATGTCCAGGAGTAGCATAGTGGGGGTGAGCAGAGATCAAGACTCCTCACCTCATTATGAACAGATTTAAATGAAACCTGGTTTGCTCTTCACATGACAATTAAACGCCACTCTACGCAGTAGATTAGGCAGCACATGGCCTCGCCTCTTCAAAAATGAACTGGGACTATTATTGGTTTATGATCAATGAATCCTGATGCAGTTGGTAGACTAGTTTCCGTGAAATCTGCTCCACCGATAGAGAAGTGTTTTTTATTATTAAAAGCTGATCTAACTGTTAAAGATGGTGGACTCTAGGGTCCTACCTGATGAGGCAAAGGACTCAGTGGTCCTACCTGATGAGGCAAAGGACTCAGTGGTCCTACCTGATGAAGACGCTGGTCTTAGTGGTCCTACCTGATGAAGACGCTGGTCTTAGTGGTCCTACCTGATGAAGATGGTGCTCTCCCTGCTCCCAGCGCTGTTCCTCAGGGTGATGGTGTACTTGGAGGCGTCGCTGCGCTGGCAGTCCCTGATCAGGAGGGTGGTGTTGACGGCGGAGGACTCGGCGCAGACACGGCCGGTGTCCGTCAGGTTCTCCTCCTCGCCCTTCTTCCAGGAGACCTTCGGCGTGGGCTTGCCGATGATGGGGATCTTCAGGCGCACCATGCTGCCCTCCTTGGCGATGTAGCACATGTTGGGCAACTCCCGCAGGTCGCAGGTGGGGAGGACTGCACGGCAGAGGACACAGCATGAACATCACTGTAACTCATGTAATAACTACACCCTACACTGTGATGGTGTCTTCTCTCAGCTGGAGGGAGGACACGCTGACATTTCTTCTAAATGTTTTCAGTAAAGGTTTTAATGATTCTCTTTTTATAGATCAACTCTTTATTAGTTTGATTTGTTTGCATTAGCTTGTTGAGTGAACATGAAAAAACTCAAATGTAATATTAAATAAAATAAATAAAATAAATAAAATAAATAAAATAAATAAAATAAATAAAATAAATAAATAAAATAAATAAATTATTTATCAAGTACAAGTACTGATACCAGTGTGTTATACTCTACTGCAGTACAAGTACTGATACCACTGTGTTATACTCTACTGCAGTACAAGTACTGATACCAACCACGCTGAGCTCCTTGACGGCGCTCTCCCCCGAGTCGTTGACGGCCTTCACCCTGTAGGTGTACTCGCGGCCCTCCACCAGGTCCTTGCCGCTGTACTGCATGTTCTTGGACCTCATGAGTTCCTTGTAGTCGTCTCCTTGGGACACCTCCAGCACGTAAGCGATGATGCGGCTGCCGTCAGGCTTCTTCCAGCTCAGCGTACACGAGTCCTTCGTCACCAGCAGCGTCTTGAAGTCCATGACGGGGCCAGGCTCCTCTGCAGGGGCCAAACAAACACTTTGTCAAACCCCTATCCACTATAATACCCCTGATGTGCAAAAACACTGCCTGTAAATAGACCCTCCAGGAGTCACGCTTTATTTACAGTCCGTCAACAGAACCAGACTTTATACGGTCACTTATTCAATAAATATACTGCAACTTAGCTTTTTAACCACGGTGAACTTTTCTACTGTTTGTTTTGACTTGTTGTGTTCTTCATTATTAACAAGTTCCTTGTTATTTAACACATGTACATTTCCCCTGGTTCTGTTAAAGGGCTCCATGTGTTTACTGCACACACTATATATCTGCAAACAAAGTCCATCACAGTCCCCCTGCTTCCACTCCTGATTTTCACTTTATTATTTGCCCTTCTTCTTTATAGGGTTGTTAGTTTGTTCACACCTTGTACATCTATTATTATATTTTATTACAATCCTGTATAAAATCTGTGACCTATATTAACTTACAGTCCGTCAACAGTACCATACTTTATATGGTCACTTATGAATAAATATACTGCTACTTAGTTTTTAACCACAGTGACCTTATCTGCTATTTTGACTGATTGTGTTCTTCATAATTAATAACGTTCTTTGTTCCGTGCTCCATCGGTTTACTGCACACACTATATATCTGCAAACAAAGCCTGCAAATATAAAACACAAAATCTGTGACCTATAGTAATTTACAACCCCCTGAGGCCTGACGGCGTCGGGGGTCTCGCAGCTCTCGCCCACCCCCAGCTCGTTGACGGCAGAGACCCTGAAGATGTAGCAGCGCCCGGCGTCCAGGTCCGGGACCTTGAAGGCCGTCTTGGCGCTGTTGCTGCTGACGATGGACCACGCCTTCCTCTCCGTCTCACGCTTCTCCACAATGTAGTGCGTCACCTCGTGGCCTCCGTCCAGCAGGGGGGGGTCCCAGTAGATGTTGGCGTTGTCCTTACATGAGTCCTTCACCGTCAGGTTGGTGGGGGGGCCGGGGGTGTCTGCAGCAAAGAAACACGGGTTAGCAACAGCTGCAATATACTCTACTGTAAGTACAAGTACAAGTACTGATACCAGTGTGTTATACTCTACTGCAGGTACAAGTACAAGTACTGATACCAGTGTGTTATACTCTACTGCAGGTACAAGTACAAGTACTGATACCATGTGTTAGTGTGTTATACTCTACTGCAGGTACAAGTACAAGTACTGATACCAGTGTGTTATACTCTACTGCAGGTACAAGTACAAGTACTGATACCAGTGTGTTATACTCTACTGCAGTACAAGTACTGATACCACTGTGTTATACTCTACTGCAGTACAAGTACTGATACCAGTGTGTTATACTCTACTGTAGTACAAGTACTGATACCAGTGTGTTATACTCTACTGCAGGTACAAGTACAAGTACTGATACCAGTGTGTTATACTCTACTGCAGTACAAGTACTGATACCACTGTGTTATACTCTACTGCAGTACAAGTACTGATACCAGTGTGTTATACTCTACTGCAGTACAAGTACAAGTACTGATACCAGTGTGTTATACTCTACTGCAGGTACAAGTACAAGTACTGATACCAGTGTGTTATACTCTACTGCAGTACAAGTACTGATACCAGTGTGTTATACTCTACTGCAGTACAAGTACTGATACCACTGTGTTATACTCTACTGCAGTACAAGTACAAGTACTTACTCTACTGCAGTACAAGTACTGATACCACTGTGTTATACTCTACTGCAGTACAAGTACTGATACCACTGTGTTATACTCTACTGCAGTACAAGTACAAGTACTGATACCAGTGTGTTATACTCTACTGCAGTACAAGTACTGATACCAGTGTGTTATACTCTACTGCAGTACAAGTACAAGTACTGATACCACTGTGTTATACTCTACTGCAGGTACAAGTACAAGTACTGATACCAGTGTGTTATACCCAGCGTGTTATACTCTACTGCAGGTACAAGTACAAGTACTGATACCAGTGTGTTATACTCTACTGCAGTACAAGTACTGATACCACTGTACAAGTACTGATACCAGTGTGTTATACTCTACTGTAGGTACAAGTAAAAGTACTGATACCAGTGTGTTATACTCTACTGCAGTACAAGTACAAGTACTGATACCAGTGTGTTATACTCTACTGCAGGTACAAGTACAAGTACTGATACCAGTGTGTTATACTCTACTGCAGTACAAGTACTGATACCACTGTGTTATACTCTACTGCAGTACAAGTACTGATACCAGTGTGTTATACTCTACTGTAGGTACAAGTAAAAGTACTGATACCAGTGTGTTATACTCTACTGCAGTACAAGTACAAGTACTGATACCAGTGTGTTATACTCTACTGCAGGTACAAGTACAAGTACTGATACCATGTGTTATACTCTACTGACAGTACAAGTACTGATACCATGTGTTATACTCTACTGCAGTACAAGTACTGATACCAGTGTAGTTATACTCTA